ATGTCCGTTTAATTATACTCGAATAGTTAAATCGAAGATAGTTTTTATTACCACAAGCAAAATCTGTCTTAATTCCTGTGGTAACTGTGTGAGTGTTACAATTTCAAACATCTTACGACAGCTTTTGGAAAGAAGAAAATAATTAATCAGTGATGTTTTACTTTCAGAATTTTCTTTAGAAATAACACTAGATTAACATATTTTAATAAACACAGCTACTCTTATTAACAAGCAGAAATATTCAAGAATTTATTTGTAATTTTGCGCTGTCCAGTTGCTTCAACAGTTTGTTGGAATATCCAGGTTTCTAATCAACATGTGAATGGTCAGGAACGGCTCAGTATGTATCGATGGCAACGTTTCAGTGAATTCTCTTAGAAAGCTAAAGGCAAGCAATACTGTTCATTAGAAGGCTTAATAATGTAAATAACCACAGCCTGAACTACCATTGTGAGACAAAGCTCTGCAGCCAACGTATTACAAGGTTTTGCCACATAACCCAAAGAGGATGGATTTACTGAAGCTAACGTTTTTAGACCATATTTCTTAAAAGCCATTGGTATCAATTCCAGTACTCGACAGCACTGTATATTTTGATGAGTAGTCTGGAAACTCATTATATCCTTAAACTCATCCATGATCATGAAAGCCACATCCTGAATTGAATCCTTCGAAAAGTTGCGTTGTGACCAAGTTCCGCAACCTGCAGAACATGACAATGTTAGATACCACCGTCTGAGTCCATTCTTACTAGGGAACGGTAATAAAACTGCCCTGAGAGATAATCGAACTATTTTCAGCAGTCCTTCAACAGCTGTTCACCAGACTTACATGTTTCGATTCTAGAATTAAGCTGTACGGCAGTCTTCTGTTAAGTCTGCACCACAAACAGCTTAATCGTTGGCGGGACATTCATAGATGAATACACCATACCACCGGAATGTCGCCTGATCGAAGCCTACACACTCAGTCGGACCACGTACTCATCAGCTGGAGATAGCGCAGCTCGTAACTTGCGTCAGGAGTGGAGCCGGCATTGGGTCTGATCCTTATATGGTCATAGAGAGACTGCTTTAAAATCAACCGTTTCGCATAGACTCGTCTTGAAACATGTAATCAGTTTGATGCTGACAAGCTAAAGTATGACGAAACAGCGCGGTCAGCGTAGCAAAAATAAATCACTAATTTATTGGCTACAAAGCTGTTCAATCGGAAAGTAGCAATGTCAGTGAAGCTTAAAAAGACTTCAAAAAATCCATTATTTTTGCAACAAAAAACGTAGTTGGGGCCACGAAAGGAATAGCCTAACTGTCCTTGGATACGGCGAAGAGTCTGACACCTAGATTGCAAAAGAGTATTTGTAATGCCCTACTGAACCCTCGAAGGCAGCTAATCACTGTCTCGTTCATGCAGTCAAACAGAGCTACAGAACGGGCAAGAACTTTGGCTGGAGAAATAAATCATGAAAATTGATAAGGCAGCCATTAACAGTAATCAGCGAACGGTGTTCAATGAAATGCGACAATTGTTTGGTAAGCACGAGATTCGGGTCATTCTTATTCAAGACGTTACGGGTGTCCGATTGGCACTGCCATCGAAAAGATGGACTGAGCACTGCCAGCAGCTTATCTCATCATTTTCGATCGTTAATTCTGGACCACCACTACAGGTTGGTACGGCCACCCACAAAACGAAATTCAAAAAGCCTCGCTACATCAGAGGAGAAGGCCTGTTATGTGGATCGAAAGTAGTAGGCCTGCTTTCATAGTTGATTACGTATCGAGAAAAGGGAAAGGTAGAAAAACAATAATTTGTTACATAAAATGTGGACGCACAAACGTTTCATAAGGAAATGAAAGTATGGAGTAATGGCCCCTATATGTGAAGGGGCCAGATGACCGAATGTTTGTTTCAGTTATCGTGATATTACAATACTGTCAACTCTTGGATAGTCTTCGAAGGACTGCGGCATGTAGTTGGCGGGATACCTTCATCAAATCAAGCAGTAGGACAGTCGTGCCAGAACCAAATTTTCGCTGCGTAGGATCACTAAAAACAGACGAAGATCGCAGTTGCGCTGGTTTGTTAGTTTCCTCGACTTTAAGGCTCCATTGGATTCACTACATTATCCAAGGAAGTGGAAAATCTTGAAATGCCATGGGATATCAAACACGTTTTCATTTTTGGAAGAGGCGTGTGCAAGAATCATGTCTTCTGTCAGAATCGAAGCAGAGCGATCTCAATGGCTCTCTATCAACCAGAAGGAGCTCGCCATAAAGATGTGCTTTGTCGCACTCTTCAACAGTGTTCTAGACTCTCTTTTCCGAAAGTGATGACCATGATAAAGATGAAACTGCCATTTTAGAGGAAGGACCCAGCTCAAAGTATTAATATATTTTGCTGACTTGGTGTATGCAGATTATACTGTTGTGGTGAGTTGTACAGGGAGCAGGTTGTCACGTAAAGGCTTGCGTATGTTGGCATGTTCGTTAACGCCCAAAAATCAAAATTTATGAGGAATCTATACAGCACAGTTGATTGATATACGGAAAGGGAGTTGAGGTGACGCACTTCAGAAGATTGACCACTTTAAGCATTTCAGCTCTATGCTCTCCAGTGATGGCACTATTAACTCAGAGTTAAATAGGAGAATCGTCCTAGCCTCGAGTACTTTTGGCAACCTTCCAATATTTTGGCCAGTAAATGAGTTACTCTTTCCATGAAAATCCGCCTGTATCTTGCCTCTGTTAGGTCAGTACTGGTGTACGGCATGGAGACAGCTTATGTAACGAATAAGCAAGAATGACGGATGCAGCGTTAGCTTTGACGCATAATGATGGTTAAACGGTAGGACCACGTAAGAAATGTTGCAGTAGATGTGGAGATTAAGAAAATGTTGGCCCTGCTAGATAAACTGGTTGAGCATACATAAGTCCAGTCTGTGTGAACGTCTCCTGTGTGGGAGCTGACACACCGCAGGCGTGGACCAGGAGGACAGAATACAACATGGAGGAACCAAGTCGAGGCAAATTCGTTTTTATAGAGGAATATTTTCTTCCACGGTGCGGTAACCGGTACTATATAGCAAAAGTGTTGAAAACCTGCGGATACAGCGGACACCACAAAGCAAAAACGATCTGCTTATATATGGGGCTCAAGGTGATAGTCTCGGAAGACACAAAGCAATTTAACCTACACAAAACGGACAGTACGTTTAATCACAGTCATTCTAAGCCTAATACATAGTTTATTCCCTGAACGAAGATAATAATTAGTGGCTGCCATGCCAATAAATAACGAATCCAGTCAAGGAGTTGGCCATAAAACAAGTGAGGCTTCTGCCATCTACAAAAGAAGAAAATATTGCAAAAATTATTCAGACAGCGACAGACTATCTTCTTACGGATTCTGCAATGTTCTGGCCAAATCCACTCTTTCCTTGCAATATGGACAAATGTCCTTCTTGCCTACTATGCACCACCCACGGATGCAAAATTCATGACACCTAAACATACTTCACTATCTTTCATGCTGCTAATCATATGCAATAGCGTATTTTGTAAAGGAAGCTCCGTTCGTCACAGAAACTTTGTCACTTTTCTCTATTATTTATCTGTAGGCGTTTCTATTCCAAGCATCTTTTGTAGACTTTACCTGGTATGCTAAACAGAAATGTTTCTCTGGAATTGTTTAGCCTTTCTTATACCCTTTCTTGAAAACGGGAGCAACCATACTGGATTGTCACTACTTTGCTGCTTTTCAGAACTACACGTCACCTAAATCAGAGTCAGGTAAAAATGCCACTGGGACTCAAAACTTTAATAATATCAGGTCGAATCTTTTCATCTTTCAACAATGATTATACTACTTTCACTCCCAAAATGGAGCTCAGAACCATTGTGAGAGTCTGCTAAAACTGCAAAGAGGAGATCCTCCTGTCATCTCTGGAATACATCCTCGCGATCAAGAAATCACCCTGTAAATTCTTCACGACTCAAGTCGTCGAGCAACTTTTCGTGTAGTAGTTGTTCGCTGTTAGCACATCATTCACTATTCAGTATATACTTACATGTGGTTGCAATTCAGTCTGCAAGTTTTTTCCAACCGTTGACCGGTCGAACATAACCTCAGCTCGTTACCACATACAGCGCAGACGTTTGGCTCTAATATTCTCCCCGGAAGGCCGTCTTTGTTGTAGTACTAAAACGCATAAAAAATAAATGCATAAAGTCTGCGCACGTATAGCTGAAAAGGAGAAAGGATGAAAGGGCGATTAACAGCAATGGAAATATCTCACTCTGCCTCCCAATAAGTATAAGCGTATCGCCTGATAGCTAGAACCATTCCTGCAACTGCTAGGTGAAATCTGAAAGGGTTTGCAAGTATATGGGTTCAAGCCATACAGTCTTCCTATCACACAAATACAAAAAGCTGGAAAAAAAGATGGACGAAGAATTTTCAACCAATGCTAAACATATTACGGCAACTGATTGCTTCACATTTCTGTATTCATTGGCGATGAGCGATTCTCATTGTTATATAACATCAGTCCAGCTGCACAGCATCTATATGCCTGGCCAGTGCAGGGAATCAACGATTACAGGTTTGACGATGAAAATGTTGGACTTTTCGTTATCCATAAAATCCAACCTAGAGTAAAGTACATGATATAATGATTCCTGCGCGAAGGATGCCTGAAAATCTACAGCAAGAGTATCTGCATGCTATCCAGAAGATTCGCTCGCATGCTGAAATCTAACGACAAAGTAAGGGCATCGAGAACCTTAAAACAGACATTTACTCTCAGCGAGCTGATGAAACTCACTATCCAAATAAACCATAAGCAAAGGTAAAACAAAAAAACGATGCAAAGTTTGGAACTTATCATACTTCGTGAAAAACGCAACAGAAAAAGCATGGATCGCAAGTCTGCAATATAAAATATAAAATGATCGGTGCCGAGCAGTCACTGACTCTTCAACTGCTAACCTGAAAAGTTAAAGACAGACAATGAATAGTCGGAGGTAATCACAACACGTAACTGCAAAACTAAAATTCAGTAACACCGTCTTGCGTCCTATGCACTGTAGGCGCTTAAATACCATGGAGCCTTGGCCTGCTTATACGATCACCTAGGCGATTAGAAGCAAGGGACAATGCAGTGTTGCGGTACAACCCGAAGCAAAGATGTCCTCATCAATCTTAAACTACCCCCAAACATCGCTGTAAAGTAAGAAACGTTGCTGATTTACTTTAAACGCTGTTTCAGTCATGTTTACTTTAAACACGATCTAACAGCTACTGTTTTTGGTAGCCACTCTAGAACATTGGAACTGTGTCTTTTTTATGTAAAAATCAAGATCTTTTGTCGATGAGGAAGTATTTTTGGTCTAATCAGTCAGAAACTCTTAGAGTGCTAAACGATGAACTAAGCAGATATAGATCTTAAGCAGATGGGATTTTATTCTTCCAATAATGATGATGATTTTCTCCTACTCTGTGAATTAGTAACCATTAAATGACTTGCAATGAATATACGACAATTTCTGTTAACTACACTGGGCCTGAGTATAAGAGACGCAGCAACAGTGACTAACGCGCAGTAAAATAATCCAATGTCACCTACTCCAATATGAGCAGCCATCTTGTCTGTGCAGATTTCAGCAAAATCACGACTGAGGACGCCATAATAGAGACCGTAGAAAAGCAGCATTAGTGCTGCATCCATAAGACGATGAGGTTCAACCTGAATTAGCGTGTGCAAGCCAAACAGGGCTCCGAGTACGAGGAAATAACTGCACATGCCAAACACGTAACTGGCCGTGTGAAGAAACAGGAACCACTTGTACACCAGCCTAAGTACCGCCTAATTTTACACGAACAACTTTGATTATATTAGCCAATGTTATGTTACCTGGGAGTGGAGCCGGATATGTGCCGGCCAACGGCTCTAGAAGCAATGAACAACGTCGCTACGGAAAAAGTCGACCACGACACCAGGAAACGCCACCAAAACCGGTATATGCAGAATACGGCGGGAAAACACCATAATCCAAACAGGGTGGCCATCTAGACAAATTCCAGTAAAA